CTGAGCATCTTTTGGGAAGCGACACATTTCACCTGGGGAGACAAAGTCAACAGGTAATGTTTTTCATCTTCTTGAGGTAAAATTATTTGCCTCAGTGATTCTTCCAGACTCACCCCGGAAGACTGCTGGTTCTGTGACAGTGCCAAACGAGCATGACCTCTTCTAATCCTGCGTTCTACTTCTGCCAGCAAGCTTTGTAAATAGCGCAAGAAGTCTCTTTCATAGCCCACTTTCATAAAACGAGAGCTCTTCTCATACCTGTATGGTAAGACATTTTTAAAATGAAAGCTCACATCGCTCCCTAGTACACAAGGAACAATGATCTGCTGCCATATTTCAAACTTTTGCTGAAGGTAACAGAGTACTGTACAATTTATATAAACAAATGTTTATACAAATCAGTAAGAAGTCAGAGTCTCGTGGGTAGCCTGTTTATAGGACAGTTCAAGCACACTGGAAGCACTGTGCATTAACACAGTGACCAACATACTTACTGTTTACGTAGATTTTCATCATGAATTTTTTCACAAGGACCTAAAAAGAACACATATAAATTTTAAGCTTGCATTCTTGTATGCTGTAATCATACTGTCAGCATTTGTTTGCACATCTATACAGAACACCTTCCTGTTTCTTTTGCTTGGAGTTTGAAAGAAACATTTCAGGAAGAATGCCAATATGGCTCCGTGTCAGAAAACCAAAGGAAATTCTGAATGATGCGTAAAGTTTTCACATAGAAGATAATTTCCAGATTTTCCTACATCAGTAAAACTACACCAAATAATTACTGTAGCCTTAGTAAGGTTTTAAAAAAAAAGGTAAAATGACATATTAAATGTTTAAGAAAGTGCTTTAATTACTCCAGGCATTGTTCTTTAAAATAAAGACTAATTAAAATATTTATCATTAGAGTAGAATTAGGAGATCTGTGACCACAAAGCACAGCCACAGGCAAATTCTCCCACCTTCCTCAGTGGGCTTTCTCTTAGGTTAAATAAGCTTGAAAACGTGCACTGACATTAAGTTTAAACACTGCCCAGACAGCTTAAATCAAAATAGGGGACAACACTTCTAAAGAAATGGAACAACTCCACATCCAATTATTAAATTCACACCATAAAATTAAAATTATTAAATTCCCTGCTTAGAAGTAGGATTTGGAATAAATATTGTTAATAAATGGTGTCACTGACAATTCTAAGAATGGTCATTTCCAAAACATTTTGATAGTAAAGCTATTTACAAATGGCAGTTAGTCCAAACGGCAACAACACGACACAGGTCTTACCTAAATCAGAGCGGGTGTTTGTGAATAATTCAGCTGGGCAAAAGCCACAAAGGTAGTATTTACAAACCTGTCAGGTGAGAGAAAAACAAGCAGCATTTCTTTTTTTCCTCACAAATTGATGACATTTGGTAATTATTTCTATTTTCTAAATTACAAAGTAAAAATCCCCTTTAGCACAGTCTGCAACATTTCTCCAAGTTTTACGCACATCCAGCCCTACCTTTGCTTTACTTGGTGGCAGCAAACACTACAGCCACAGCTTAATGACACAGTGCCCCCAAAATACTACTTTCCATTGTGCTGGCCGTATCTCTTAATGCTAAATATTTAACATCATGGGAAGCCATCACCCATGTGGTACGTTACAGTCCAATCTGGTACTCTCACACACATGCTGGACACAGAGCAGTGACACAGTATTCCTTAAAATACATTTGGAAGGATTTTAACAAATGGGGGTGAATAGAGAGCACCAAAACCTGCCCCCAGCAGCCACCTCTCTGTACTGCCAAGGCCAGCAGCTGTCCCCATCAGCTCAGTCCTCTCTCTTTTTCCACACTAACCATAGACTGCAAATCTGGTTGTGGAGGTCAGAACTGCACTGATGCCCCACGGCCCAGCCTCCCACAACAACCAGCCCACGGCCATGAAAATACCCATTGTTACCCAATCTGAACACCTCTCCTGTCACCAGCTTAGGCCACTGGGGCACCAATAAAGCAGTCAGTAAAATTGTCTATAACCATAACCCTACTTGAGGAATGAAAAAAAAAAAGCAACGGTACTGCCTGCACAAACAAATAACAAAGTGACACTTCAGCCAACTTCCAAAACCAATAAACCAAAACAAAAATGAGCCAATAAAAAAAAAGAGGATTTAGAGATTCTACCTCCATGCAAAACAACTTACATGTTCTGGCATTAAAAAAGAAAAAAAGCACGTAACAGACTGCAAACAGATAGTAGGGTCAAACAGCACTTTAAATGCAGCATCTATTCCTTGAGATACTGCTCCTATCAGGGATAACTGCTCCCAGCCATCTGTCCCCCCACCTCCTGACACGCAGTGCTTCCTGCAGGACCCATCACAAGGCAGCACAGGAGATGCTTCACACCACCAGTGCTCCCACAGCACCAGCACACATAAGAACACTCGAACTGAGCAAGTTTTTTAGCCGCTGTTCCAGGAGCAGACCTCACCCATGGCACAGCAATAGGCAGCAAGACAACAGCATGCAGTGCTGATGAGCTCCTGCTGACACCAAACAAAATGCCTTTATGCGGGATGTAGAACTGATTACCCAGGGACACCCTCCACTCCTGAAACATACAGCTGCTAGAATTTCCATTTTTTAAGATTAAAGCCTTTTGCCACATCAAAGTTTTAAAGTAAGAACATAAGCTCTACAAAAGATTTTGCAACGAGAAACACAATGTATTAATACTGCAAATAAACGCTCAGCTATCACTGCACTTCAGGGGCTTCCACACAACCCGTTCCTATCCTGTACCTCACTGCATCTTCCTCACATTTCTGTATCTGCTCACGTGTAACCTACAAACAATGAAGGAAACAGATGAGCTCTTTCTGGTAACCTTCCATAACTGGAAATGTGACACAAACTCTGAATGTTGGTATGAGAGCACAACCGACAGCACACAGGTCACCTGTTGACAGCTGTGTAGTTTGACCAGGGAGGATCCTACCACATACACAGAACAGCACTCAAGCAGATGAATGCATGCTGCTCTCTGAATCCTACCTGCATCTGCTGACTTTCAAAACATGCCAGCATTACAAGTTTAATCTCTCTGGGATGCAAGGAATTAAAGTGAAATTTATCTTAATATTTTAACACCAGCAAATGTCTGCTACAAACCTGTCAATGACTACAGTACCCATGAAAACACTGCTTCAGTGGTGGCCCTATGAATCTCATCAGTAAGGGCAGGAGTGTGCAAACAAAGCAGCAGCTCCCATAGGGATGGAGGCTGCACCTCACAGAGGGGACAAGGGACAGATCCCAGATCCCAGCTGTCCAAGCACTTGTTGCACACACCTTCTTGTTGAAGAAGGGATGCAACCCTGTTTCTGGAAAGAGCATGCAAACAGCTGAATGGCATCTTAAAGAGGTTCCTACCATTACAGTCAACCTCTTCAGCCTGAAGTTGAAAAAATACATTTCTCTTTTACAAATCTGATTAAAGATAACACAAAGTGCTCCTCACCTTCAGAAATGAACCAAAACCACCCCCTTCACTACTCTAGCCGGGCCCACGTGGCTCAGGCCATCCGCTCTGTATCTCCAGGGCTGAACATCCCCTTTTTATTTTGGGTCCAGAATCAAAAGAAAATACATAACTGAAAATTCAACTGAATAACGATGTTTGGTTAAGAAGCGCAGAAGGACTTCAAGAATGTCGTGAATACTTCCTGAACTAACAGCTCCCTTCCTGACACACACAACTTATCCAGGCAGCAGAAATTAAAAACCAACAACCTCCTGGGATCTGCCAGCCTAGGGCACACAGCGAAGGCCCTTATCTCATGGACTGGGAGGAACGCACACCCACCATCCTTCAGTAACACCCAGTTTCTGGGTGGAAAACAGCACATTCCAGCCTCTGCCACTCAGATACAGCTGGGGACAGCAGCACTTCTCCCAACTTAAATCCGTATGGAGAAAGCTCTAAGCTGGGAGGAGCCCCACAGAGCGCAACTGTCTGTGTTCTGCAGTTTGACCCACAGGGACACCAAACACATCTCAGGAATCACATCCCAACTGTGGCACTTCTTTTAAAGCACGCACCGTAGCTCAGAACTGCACTGTGAACGAGAAATCAAGCTGTATTTCGGCAGCTCTCATCCCTGCCAGAGAAATGCCTACAGGAGCTCTGTCATCACTGCCGGCTTTGGTTTTAGTTATTCTTCACGGAAATCGCTCGGCAATACCGCTAGGACGGACGGCAGTAAAAGCCACCATTCACTAACAATCGGCTCTACGGGGAAAGCACTCCCCGGAGCGCGCAGCGAGCCTTACTGGCATCGTTTATTGCGGAAAAGCCGAGTGACAGCCGCGCTCAGCCGCGCTCAGCCCCGCAGCGCCAACAAAGGGAGCCCCGCTCCGCGCCGCGCCGCTCCGCACGCGGTGAGCGCCGCCCTGCCGGACCGCGGCCGCCCGCCGGGCCCAACGGCCGCCCCGCTTCCGCTTAACGGCGCCGCGCGCAGGACGCCCGCCCGAGCCGCGGCCTCCCCGCTCCCCGCCCGGATCTCCGCTTCCGGCTCTCGGCCCCTCGGCGCGGCCCGCTGCCCCCGCACGGAGCGCTCAGCCCCGCCCGCCGCGCCGCTCCGACCGGGCCCGGCCCTGGGGGGAGGGGAAGGAGGAGGGCAGAGGCGGCCCCGCCGCACTCACGCTCTCGTGGTCCCACCGCACGTTGCTGCGCTTCTCGTCCGGCGCCAGGTTCCTGTCCCGGCCCATGAGCTCATCGAGGAGCTGCGCGGCCGAAATCATCGCGTCCGGCGCTTCGAGGCCCCGCGCCCCGACCGACCGAGCGAGCGCGCCGCGCCGAACTGACACAGACAAAATGGCGGCGGCGCTGCTCGCCCGGCCCACAATGCACCGCGCCGGGCGGGGCGGGCCGAGGCGGCGGGACGCTCGGCCGAACGGCGGCGGAGCTCAGCGCTCCTCCTGGTGGGGCGCGGGGCGCGTTGTGTTTTGACATCTCCGCAGCTCCGCCCTCGGCCGCCACGCCCGGCCCTGCGGGGGTCTCATTCCCGCCTGCGGCTCCGAGCCGCGGCTCCTCCTTTTCGCCGTTCTCGGCGCCCCGCTCCGTTCCCGCCCCGCGGTGCGGCTCGGGTGATTTGCGCCCTTTTCTCGCACCGCTCCTTTCTCTCCCGAACTGCGCTCGGACGAACCCAGGAGCGCCGGAAAGCGGCTTCGCAAAGCCGGCCGCGCCGATGGCGGCGGAGCCCTGCGGCGCTCGAGGCGGGGGGACGCGGGCGGCGGAGCGGGCGGCAGCCCGAATCCCAACCGCAGCCGGAGCCGCGCCAGCCGCGCGCGGCGCTGCCGGTAGGAACCAAAGCTCCCGCTCGGCGTTGCCACACAGAATTGCGTCCCCCCGCCGCGGCCCAGCGGCGCTCCCGGCCCGGCCGCGGGGATGGAGGCGAAGGAGCTGCAGGAGCGGCTGCGGGAGGCGGCGGCGCTGGGGGACGCCGAGGAGGTGCGGCGGTTGCTGGCGCTGGGCGTCAGCCCCAACGCGCAGAACGAAGTCAACGGCTGGTGAGAGCCGCGGGGCGGGGCGGCGGGGCGGCGTCCTGCGGGCGGCGGCGCCGAGCGGCCCGGAGCTCCGCACGGCGGCACGGCTGCGCGCGGCCCCGCGGGGGGAGGGCGGGGGCAGCGCTCCGAGCCCGCGCTCGCTCTCGCCGGCGGCTTCCCCGAGAGGAGCGAGCGGCGATGCGCCGGGCGGCCCCGTCCGAACCGCCGCTCCGGAGCGGCCCTTCTGGGGACGGTCTGTGGGCGGGCGGCCGCGCGAAGCGGGAGAAGCGGGAGAGCGGCGGCTGTGCGCTCCGCTCAGTGCGTGCTGAGCGCTGCCTGCGGGCACGGCAGGGCCGCTGCGCCCCGGCACGGGGCGGCGTGAACGGTGTGCTGCTGGAACGGCTCAGCCCGCTGTACTGATTGGATTAATTAAAGACCCAAAAAGCGTTAGTTAAGGACTAAAAATAGCGTCCCCGGGGAGCGCGTTCTTAGCTCACACACACCGGTATGCGACTTGCTCGTTTAGCGATTAAAAAAATGCATACGTAAGTCATTTTATATCTATTTTCCCCCAAAATATCCCAAATCAGCATCTGAAACCAACCCTACCGATGCTGCTGCGGTACCTTGCCTTAAGATCACAGAGGAGGGGAAAAGTGCATCAGCAGGTGTCACTGCAGGCTCCAGAAGCAGCGCACATCTGCAAGGGGCATTGCTGCTAAAAACTTCTATGTTAGACGTACATTAGGTTTTGTTCTTCTATTCAGTGAGAACGAGTGGCGTTTTGCAGTAATTGAGTCAAGCGTTGTTTCCATGTTCGCTGTGCAGGACGTGCCTGCACTGGGCCTGCAAGCGGAACCACGCGGCGGTGGTGGCCCAGCTGCTGCTCTGCGGAGCAGATAAGGAGATCCTCAGCAGGAAGGGGGAGCGGCCGGCCCAGCTGACGTCCCACAAGGAGATCCGCAGGATGCTGGGAGGTACCCGTGCTGCTGTGTGCGGGGCGGCGGGCGGAGGCGCTTGTTTCCAGCCTTGCTGTGTGTGCTGTGATGCGGTGTTCCGTGCTTGCAGTACGGGACTTGGCGTCTCTGCTGCTTGCTTGGTGAGAAATCAAAGTCTGTGTTGTCTGCTTAGTGAGAAGTTAGAGTTCAAAAGAGATTACCAACAATTTCCACACCCAGCTCACCAAGTCAAAAACTGGAAAAGCTGTGTGTTGAAAAATGCCGTGATTCAACCAGCCACACACAGATCCCGATTTTCCAAAGATGAATGGGGGAAGATATCTCATTCATATGAAACGTTATGGTGCATAAACAACAGCTGATGTTCCTGTTGTTCTCCGAAGTTCAGACACTGTCTTGAATAATTTTTAAATCAGCACCCAGAGAAGCAGCCCATTAAGCACATTGCTGGAGCATTTCTGTTGTGTTTCATAATGGCTGGAGTGGGGCAGGCCTTGCTGCAACAGGTGATGAAGTAATTTGAACTGTGGTTGGTTAACAGCTCTCTCCTTCCCTTTGTATTTGTTTTTGTTTTCACAATTTTCTCCCAGCTGCTGAGCTGGTCATGTTTCAGTTCAGCACTGTGTGTGCTTTTCCCTTTAACACCTGCCTCAACATCAAGCACCTTTTGTGTTTCATTGCCTTTTGCATTATGAAGATGATGGCATTGTGCCACCGGAGACCGTGCCACGATGTGCCAATTACGGATTAGAAAAGGAACATAAAAATCAAGTGAAGAAGGATGGCAGTATTCAGAAGAGAACGGTGCTCCCAGCACTGTTTGGATCAGATTCTGCTTTTGCATTCACTGTATTTCAACACCTGAGAACAATTCCTTTACTGTAGAGAGGCGGTGCAGAGCTCCTTAATTCATCTCCCGTCCCGTGGTGCTTTTACCCCTCCTTTTCCCCCCACAAGCACCACGCACACAAAAAATGCACATAAAATCCCACGGTGCAATAGTGACTCTTCTGCTTTTTTCCGACCAGCCTCAGATAACGTTCTGTTGTTTGTTTTACAGTGGAAGAGGATGAACTCCCAGATGTAACAACCGATTCGGAGCTGCCCATCATCCCTAACTACCTGGCTAACCCACCTTTCCCATACGTTTATAACTCCATGAGCAGCAGCCTCCCGGAGCCCCCTGTCAACGGCAGTGCGTCCCACGGGGAACGGCAGAGCTCTGCCTCCTCCCTGCCGCCCGCTGCACAGCTGTGTGTGCGGCCGTCGGCGCGCGGTGAGGACGCGGCTCCCGCTGTGTGTGCCGGCTTGCGGTGCTCCGGGGCCGCAGCTCAGAGCGCGCTGCTCCAGGCTCCGTGGGGCACAGCTCCTCCTTCCCCTGCCGGACCGCAGCAGCCCGGAGCTCCACTGGGCAGCAGCTCCTGCGCGGGGCCCATGCCGACCTTCCAGCCCGTGTTCTTCACAGGAGCTTTTCCACTTAATATGCAAGGTAACGGCAAAAGTGTTTCTCCTCGCCTCTCCTTGGGTTTTGTCACCTTGGACGGTGCAAGTGGAGGAGCTGGTGTTACGTTTATTCAGTGCTCCTGGAGCTGTCCAGGTTCTTGCGCGTTAGGCGTGGGGGAATTGTTTGGAGGCAGTAAAAAAGGCAGTGCTGTTCTTGCTGGAACCGCTATTAAAGTATCAACGCAAACATTCGCAGTTTGTCTCAAACACTAGAAAAGCACAGAGAAAGCGAGGTAACCCTGTTCTCTAAGTGGCATCTCCTTCAAGTAAAGAGCCCAAGAGAGAAGCTCGGCTGGCTCCGTCTGTAGGAGCAGCTGGGAGCTGAGGCAGGCGGCCCTTCTGTGGGCAAATATCACCTGCCTGCCGGCTGCCCAGCTGCTGGGGTGGGGGGATTCTCGTGTTGTTACAGGTGATAAGACTGGCTGATAGAACGTAGAAATACTTAGTATGGTGTTTTCTAATTGTTTTACACATCTACCTGTGAATGTGCCCTTTTATTTTGAATAGAACTGGTGCTTAAAGTTAGAATACAAAACCCTAGTCTTAAAGAAAATGACTTCATTGAAATTGAGCTGGACAGACAAGAGCTGACCTATAAGGAACTGCTCCGAGTGAGTTGCCATGAGCTGGGTGTTAACCCTGAACACGTACAGAAGATCAGAAAATTACCAAACACAATGCTAAGAAAGGTAAGAACTCTTCATTCTGAATGCAGTAGCGTATATTTAAAAAAACTGTTTCGGTTACCATTAAAAAGTACTCATTCATTTACCACCTGCACTGCGTCTGTGTCCCAGAAAGATGACAGTGTTTGCTTTGGGCAGTGCCTGCTGTCATAGAGGGAAAGGCGAGGAGGATGAGCTCTGCCGTTGGCTGGCACTGTGATGCTGAGCTGTCCTGAGCCGTGCCCTCGCCCAGCACCGTGGTGGTGTTGTAGTGTTGCAGGTTCTGTCAGACTTGTGATGTTCTGACCACAGTCCACAGTGTCACTGCGGTGCTTTCAAAAGGCACTGAGTGGGGGCTGATTCTTACTGCTGCTGTTGATCACTCAACTCTTATTGTGCCAGCAGTGCCCCGCAGCACTGTGCTGGGTTGGTGTAGTTCTGCATGGACTTGCAGTGTTGAGAGAGAGTCTGAGTGTGGCCCTGGGCACAGGGCTTTTCGCTTTGGTGACATAATGCAGAGGGGACCCACTGCACAGCTCTGCTGAGAACTGTTGGCCTCTTTGGCTCTTGTGCTGGTAGAACGCTGTGGGCGTCAGCGGTGGGGCACTGATGGGCACTGCACTGCAGAGGTCAGCATGCTGCATCTTCTCTGAGTATAAAGTGATTTACTCCTTGTTAGTCAAAAAAAAAAAAAAGAAAAGAAAAAGACAAAAGCAGTTCTGCCACTTGCTGACTTAGGCTGCTGCTGAAGGGAGTCTGTCCGGTCCGTACTTCAGACCGCCCTGGTGGGACTGCAGGATGCTGCCTGGACTGGCAGCTGCCTGGATGCTGCTGCTGGAGCAGCACTGTGCAACCTGAGCTGTGGGACACTGCCATCCCTCAGCCCCACACAGCCCCCAGCCAGCTCCTGAGCACAGCCCTGAGCACAGCCCCCAACCTGCTCCCAGCAGTGCAGCGATTCATGAAGAATGACCAAAAGAGGGAAGAGTGGTGGCTGGGGTACAGCTCAGAACAGTACTAAGGGAAGAAAACCACACAGCAGACCTGTACAGGTGTAATTCCATTCATCACTTGTGCTCAGTGCCAGCATTGCATTCCTTCTCTAAAGCAGCTGCGTAAGATGCCAGGACAAAGCTAAGATGCAGCAGGAGCTCTGCTTTCCAGTTTACTTTAAAAAACTGTCACGTATATGGATAAATACATGCTTTGTTGTACTATAAGCCTATTATTTTAGTGTACCACTGCAAAACGGAACATGCGGTTCATCAGCTAACAAAACTTACTGTATTTATTCAAAGGACAAAGATGTGGCAAGGCTACAGGATTTCCAAGAACTGGAACTTGTTCTGACAGTAAGCGACAAAAACTTCCCTTTCAGAGCCCCAGCACTTTCCGAACAGAGTGGTTATAACAAGAAGGCATCAGAACTGACCTATTAATCATTTAAAGAATAAAACAAACTATTTCTATCTCTCATTTTAAAATTACATTTGAAATACGGTATCTCTAAGGGCTAACGATGTGAAGAAAAAAAATCTATTTTGTTAACTTTGAAATAAACTGAAGCTGTTCTGCACTAAAGATGGTAGCCTCTAGTTAATGTGAAAGTACTCAGTCTGCTGTGAGAGCAGCTCACGCACGGGAAGTATTGCTAAGAAGTCCCCATTAGTGCTCCCTACAGACCATCATCCTGCAGTGGGGCGGCTCTCAGGGAAGGGCTTCCCTGAACCTGCGCTGCCAGTCGGTGTGCTGGAACACAGCAGAGGCTCTCATGCAAAAAAACCTTCCCCAGAACCCATTTACTGTCTGTACTGAGTCTGTTACCATTGCTGCTCACTTTCCAGAGCATTTGTCTGTAGTCAGCTCAAACCAGAAGGGTTCTAAATCTGTGAAGAAGCACAAAAATGTCTTGTTTCAATACTGTTAAGTAATGTACTGCCTGTGATTGATTTCTTAATACCTCTTTGCACCTTTCCCTATTTCTCAGGTCAAAAACAAAGTGATAATAATCATCCAAATCATAAATACACTCTTCTTCAAAACCATAGATCCATTTTCTCATTGTCTTGTCAGGGTCAGGCATTGGCATGTGCAATTCAAAATACTGTTTTTGTCCAATGCTGCTTTACTTTCCCCTTTAAAAGCACAAGAATTATAATTTTGTCCTTTTTTGCCTGCATTCCTGAGAAAGGCCTCATCTGGAAACTTTAAGCTTGCCCATGTCAGAAGAGATCAGTGAAAGGCCCAGCACGTCCTGAGCTCGCACTGAGATCATGATGTTCCTATGCAATGTAGCTTTCTTTCCCAGCGAGTTGTTCTTGCCTTTGTTGCTTACTGGAAGAAAGAACAGAACCAAAAAACCACTTTCCTGTTCCATAAAGTTCAGAATCAGACTGCTTTGATACGACGTTCTGGAATAAATAAAATGAGAAGCATTTAAGACAACAGCGAGCTGGATTTTATCTCACTTTTTTGGCTGTTAATATTTACTTGGTTATCTGCATCCAGTGTAGAGTTCTATTCTGGTAGCATCACTGTAAAAACACGCACTGTGAATTGGATGAGAGAAGTGAAGCAGCAATGTAGCAGGCAAACAACGTACCCAGCCGGACTGCGCTTCCCACTGCTGCTTTGTTCCCCGTCCCCGTTTTCTTCGGGAACTGCAGCACCCACAGGACCCCATCTTCCTGCATCCGGAGATGGCAGCCGCGTTAGCTGTGACTGCACACAGCCCTGCCACGTGGGGCTGACAGCAGCTGAGGAGGGAATCACCCCAACCAGCGGGAGGAGCTGAGGTGCAAAGTGCATCCGAACTTCCTCACCACTCTTCCCACGTGAGATGCTTCCTCTGGCTGCAGTCTGTTGTGCGCCTCCTCCCTCTGCGAGATGGGGACAGGAGGCGGCAGAGCTCCCAGCCGTGTTGGAGCCCTTGCAGCCCTGCACAGCAGATGTGCTTTTGGTACGGGCTCTGCACCTGGCAGCTCAGCACATCGAGGTACAGGTGAGCAGTCAGAGCTCCTGGGGTGAAGCCCAGCTGCAGGGCTGGAGCTGCAGGGCTGGTGATTGTGGGCGCAGGGAGGTAACTATGCATTCAGAGAATATTTTTATACAGTATGCAGTTTATACATAGAAGATATTACTGACTTAATCTGGCCAGGGTACAACCGTGACGTTGTGCGTATGATAAATAAGTTGTTACTCTCTGCATTGCTGTGTGAAATGTTAATTTCAAATGAATGCTTGGCTGCAGATTCTTGTTTCGATTTCATAAGTATCATCTGGAACAATTAATAAACAATTATTTTTGTCTTCTCAGAGTTTCTCAGAACTTCTCTTACAGACAAACATTGGACCCTTTTCTCACAAGGCATTTTGCTGTGAGATCTCAGCAGCAAATGCTGCTTAAATGCAGCGCTGCCCTTCCTCTGAGGGGGCCCAACTATCAACATCAGCAATAAGGCAATGATGTCATCTGTAGCACAAATCACATTATTTCAGGTGATAAGCATTCAGGGAGAGAAGTAATGCCCTCATCCTCATCCCCGTTCTGTGATTCTGTGACCGTGATCCCCCCAGCCGTGCGTGCAGCTGAAATAGAAGCTTACTCGGGACAGCTTCATACAGGAGGGACATAGAACAAATTAACTGTGTGCCATCGTGTCCCTGCAGGCTTCTGTGGGCATCTGCTACACAAGCAGGAACTGTAATTCATTGCTCACATTAAGCCAGATGTGTACGTTTAGTTTACGTACAAGTTATTCCTAGCTCTGAAGTGGAAGAGGAGCTTTATAACCCTGACGTTTCCCTGTGCAGGGGACACCAACTCATCCTGGGGAAATACTGCCAGGTGCACACCGACCACTCTGACACTCAGCATTCTATCAGCATGTTTCCAAGCTGAGCTGCTGCCTAAGCAGGCCCTGCCTTCCACCTCAAAACCAATGGGTCTCTATCCAGAAGACACAAAACAGCTGTATTTTGTACCATGAATATAATTTACTAATCATAAACGAAGTGCAGTACACGTTGCCTTGTGACACATACATTTCCTTGGCATTCTTTGGAGAAAAAAAACGTAATAAAATACTTTATAGAAAATATTTAAAAAATATAAAATTCACTTTCTGGTGCTTACCATTGTAAAATGCTCAGTTCATTTATCACAAGTTTAATCAACTACAAGAACTTATGTAAATTACAGTACATTCAGAAGTCACTTTTGTGGCAAGTCAGTAACATTAAAAACGACAACAAACCAAAACCAAAGCACCTCAGCACGGGGTTTTCTTCTCACGCCAGCCCAGCATCTTTAGCCATACCGTAGAAAATCCCCTTTGATGCTATGAGGTTTGTAGGTGTATCAAATTCTGCGATGGTTCCGTTGTCCAGCACAAGAATCCTGTGCAGAACAAAAGGGGCAGAAGACAGATCAGAGAAATTCCTCTCTGAAAGTTTAATATCCATCATGCTCCGCTCTTTCCCTGGACTTTGTTGTGCCCAGTTATGTTCCCGCACGGAAGCACAATAGATGGCTGATGTTCTCCCTGAACTGTTGTTTGATTTAAAAAGATTGATTTACACAGAAAAAAAACAGTGACATTGGTAGCTTTGTAATTGGGAATGTTGTGCCACAAAGCCAAGGAGGGAAAAGCTCATGAATTATAGTAATAGCTTTAGAACTAATTAATACAACGTGATATTAGTGAAAAGGTTACAGCAGCTGCTGGTTAAAAACAGATCCATAAGCTTGCTGACAGTGCCATTAGTAAAAGAGGGCAGTACCTCTTGCATAGCTCTGGTCAATGAATATGGAACTTGTTTCAAAAGCAGAAGCAAAATCAGGGCTGGATATCCCAGGGCTATAGGGCTGAGACATCACTGCCCGTGAACTCCTGGACCAGAGCATCACTGTGACTCTCTGGAGACAAATCAGGCCCTCCAAGTGCTGCTTCCCATAGCCAGCACGCAGGCTGCACCACCACGAGTCCTACCTTGTGTAATCCATAATGGTGTTCAGCCTGTGCGCTATTGTCAGCACCGTGCAGTCTTCAAACTGAGTCCTAATTGTCATCTGGATCAGGTCGTCCGTCTCCAGATCGATCGCTGCTGTTGCTTCATCCAGGATTAAGACTCTCGTCTTGCGGAGCAGCGCCCTTGCCAGACAGACGAGCTGCCTTTGGCCAACACTGCAGGCAGAGACAAGGCTTTCTCAGAGGCCCTGCAGCTCCCATGGTTCAGAATCACTTGTTCTCAATGGATGAAGTTACCCAACAACAACAAATGGCAAATGCTCACTGCAGCACTACTCAGCAACTCGCCGTGTGCCTTCACTTCCTGCCTGGGCAGAGCCACCAAACGTCCCCTTTCTGCCACTACGTCAAAAACCAATAATCAGTGCTTCTGCCTGAGTGCTCAGGAGCACACACAGCTGGAACAACTGCACACACAGACTTTCAAAAATAAAATCAGAAAGTTCTGAGGCTGCGCATCCTTTCTACCACCGAATAAAATAAGTGGGTGGCCCACACTGCCCCACACACTGCCTTGGGTGCCTCTGTGGGACACAGGACATCATCAGACAACCATCTGCTTTACCGTGGTCTCAGAAGCCGATAGAGCCTATCAAAGCACGATGCTTTACCATCTCATTCATGTCCTTCTTCATGGCTCTTCCCAACTAATAACAACAGGCAACCATTGCTGACATCACTTCAGGCAGAGGATTCTCACTCAGCACAACAGTTACGCATCACCACAGCATTTCCCTTCCTATCAAACCCACCAAATGTTTAAGGGGCTGCCTGTTCCTGACATGTCATCCCAAACCTTCTTCCTGTACTGGTAAGACAGGAGTTTGGTTTGGCAGAAATTCTTCCCAGCAGCAAAAGAGAACCTTCAGATCCTTCCAGAAGTGGCAGAACAGCAACTCAATGTTTGAGCCTTACTTGCATCAGAAACAAATGGCCACTGGACATAACAAACTACAGTGTAAAGCTGTTACTCACTGTTAGGGCTGAATGAAAGCTCACAGTATGTTTCTAATGCAAACGTTCCTTACCTAAGATTTTCTCCACCTTCTGAGCACTCAAATTCCAACATGGATGGCTGACTGCTGACAAACCTCTTCAAGTGAGACAGTTCAAGAGCTTTCCAGACTTCTTCATCTGAATACTTATTAAATGGATCCAGGTTCATCCTCAGTGTTCCAGAAAAGAGAACAGGATCCTGGACAGACAACCACCTTTCATTAGACAAGTCCATTAGCTGTTTCAAGTACAGACATTAGTATAGAAGGCTGTTTTCAAGCATCCATCACACTGAAGCTAAGCCACCTCCCAGTCCCATCCACCTTGAAAATACATTGCGTTATACACAATGAAACATCCAGTTTGGACTCTAAAGATAATTTATGTCAAACTCTGTTTTATCACCCACCATCAGTTTGTGAGGTGGCAGGGCCAGACCAATCTGAACTGTTCTCCGTGGTTTGCTAAACCATGATACACAGAAACACTACCTGAGGAATAATTGTCAGCCTCGATCGAAGGTCATGGAGGCCGATCTCCGAAATCCTCACACCA